ATATGTATAACACCAAATATTCTTAGACTTCGTTTAATTTGTAAAATTATGATTATTATCAGTATTTGGAAGATCTTCAGAATTACGTAAATCCTCCGTATTTTCAGAATTCGCAGAATTCTCAGTATTTTCAGAATTCTGGATTAAGAGATCGTCATACTGTGTCATCTACGTGACTTCATTATGACTGGTTAATTGCTCTGTTAACAATGTACTGTATTTAGCATTTGAGAAACATAATTTTTTTTGTTTGTCATTCGATATGGATTTTTAACATTATCTTTATGTAAAGTTTCATAAGTTTCAGTCAACATGCCATTCATTAAACTATATAATTGAATAGATAGGATTATATGATAACGAAGTATATGAAGTTTTGGTATTTTGCAATAACTTGGAAAGTACTCAGAAAACACAGTTACAAATTCTTGACAAAAATCATTTATTAAAATCTAATGAAAAAGTATAATGAAATAAATATCATTAATTATATTTAAAGATTTTTATTAAAAATTCAAATTGATTATATTTACCTTCAATTCTATCAAAGCTATTTCTGTAAATGTTTCCTGATGTAGTTTTATATACATCTTTAAATAATTATAAAAAATACTACATAACCTTTTACATGATATTTCTCCTTTTTTATAATTATCATATAAATTGTCTATAATGAAAATTAATACTTTCATTATATTTCAATAATCGTCAGCAGTGAATTTTGATATATTCTCTAATCCATTTTTTAAAATTGTTAACCTCAGATATCATGGAATAGCATAAAATCTGTGATCTATTTCCTTAACTACTTTAATATTAACTTTGAGTGTAAATAACTACGAATAAATTCTAAGAGGTATTTTGTAATCTTAAGGTCAGCAAATGCATCCGATCAGGAACAATTGCTTCATAAATATTAAAATCATTAAATTTCTAAAAAAAATTGAATTCAGCATGTATCAAAAATTCATATACTTGATTTGTGTTAATAATCTCCTACATCTTTTTTAGTATTCGTAAAATAACATTGGATAACGTCATATTGTTGAGATCTTCATTATTTATTAAACAAAAACTGCAAGAACGTTTAGAAGTTGATGGAAAATATGTCAAGGTAAATGTTCTGGGCTCTGCCATGTCAGTAAGGATGACCGATATCTTTGGTGTAAATGGATATATTTCATTATTTATAACAAAATGCATATCGGCTTGATTTAATATCAGTTTTAATAATATTTGAAGACATCGTTGAAAAACTAATCTTTGCAATTTTTGAAAATATTTAGAATTTCTCTTCATACTATCCTTTGCTTTTAACTTTAGCAAATAACCAATAAGTACTTTAGCCTGGAGTTTATTTTGCAACCAACTTAGAATATTAACTAGTGAAATATAAATTGGGTATTCTGATGTTTTACTAAGGTGATTGCACGTGGTTGCATTAGCATAGATAATAATTGGTAGTAAATTATTATTAATAGAAATGGTTTTTTCTGTGGTATACCACCAATCACTTTCAAATTGTTTACCATAAGTCTTAATAGCTGAGGCATTATAATTTTGACGATACTTAAAGATAAATTCTTCATTAATATCAGATCATAAAAGCAGAATCTTAATTTCATTAATTATCGATTGATAATGAAGCTTATAATCAACACCTTGAAAATTGGTAATGGAAACTTCTTTAAATTTTATATAAGAGAACTCACTATTATCAAGGAATTTTCATCCTTCTTTGGCAATTTTTGGCAATAAGTTTTTATTAACATTTTTGATTAAATTAAATAACTTAATTAATCTATTCTCACAAGAATTCGATAACTGATATTTCATGTTAATTTTTATGAATTTACGATAAATGTCATTTGGCCATTCAATGCTTGATGGATGCAATTTATCATTTATAGCATCATTAAACATAGTTTCACAATAATCTTCAAGGTTAATAAGTAACGGGAATGATAAATTAACATCAATTTCATCATCTGTTTCATGATCAACATTAATCTCATCAAAATTTAAAGCTTCAAGAGATTCTGCGGTTTGGTTTGTTATTAATTCAGTTTCTTCTTCTAACATTATTAACTCAGCCCAATAAAAAATTTGATATAAAAATTCCATAAAAATATTAAGTTTTATAACATATAACTTTTATGAAAAATTAGTATAATATATATGTTTTTTCCTTAGGTAAACACCTTAAACTTAATATAGAAAAGTGGGAAAAAACATATACAAAAAATAAGGAAAAAACGTATATTTTATAATGCTTTAACAGATGCAAAAATCACAAATTAAACGTATATTTTATAATACTTTAACGGATACAAAAATCACGGATTAAATATATATTTTATAATACTTTAACGGATGCAAAAATCACGGATATAACATATATTTTATAATGCTTTAACAGATGCAAAAATCATGGATAAAACGTATATTTTATAATGCTTTAACGGATGCAAAAATCACAGATTAAACGTATATTTTATAATGCTTTAATGGATGCAAAATCACGGATTAAACGTATATTTTATAATGCTTTAATGGATGCAAAAATCACGGATATAACATATATTTTATAATGTTTTAATGAATGCAAAATCACAGATTAAACGTATATTTTATAATGCTTTAACAGATGCAAAAATCACGGATATAACATATATTTTATAATGCTTTAACAAATGCAAATCATAGATAAATCATAAACAATTTAGATTTTATTGATATAATAAAAATTAAAATTAAAAAAAAATTTAAAAAATCAATATTTTTTAAATTTTTCCCTTCTTACACTTCTTGTTCTTTTGTGTAATATTTCTTTTGATATAATTAATTAAAATAAATATAAAAAAATAAGTATTATAAATTTGTAAAAAAAAAAAAATCAAAGATAAATTTCTTACCTTTTTTATTTTCATTAATTGAATCTTCTTTTTCTTTTTCTTTAAAATTTGTTAATATAAAGTTAATATAAAAATAATCATTTATATAGTGAATTAATAAGAATTTAGATTTACCTAAATTTTTATCATAAGATAAATTAAATTTTGCGTTAGGATTGAAGGTAATACTAGAAGTGGTGCTAATTTTACTGGCTTCACTTTTATATTCTTTTTGTTTTAATATTAATTAGTATAAAATTAAATTTAAAAATTTTTATTATTATATATTAGAAATAAAAATTTAAAAGTTACCTAAATAATCTTTTAAAAGCCTTGCTTTCTTACTAACATTGGAGGTAATACTGGCATTGGCATTGGCTTTGGCTCTGGTATTAGCTTTAGTAGTATTGGCTTTGACGGCTTTGGTATTAGCTCTAGTGCTGGAGCTGGAGCTGGCATTGACATTAGCATTGGCTCTAGTATTGAATGTGGTGGTGCTGACATTAGCACTAGCAGTATTAGAGCTGGCATTGGTATTGGAGATAGTGCTGGAGCTGGCATTGGCATTAGCTCTGGCATTAAAGGTGGCGGAGCTGGCATTGGCATTGGTATTAGCACTGGCATTAGCATTGGCATTAACACTAGCATTGGTATTAGCGCTAGCATTGGCATTAGCACTAGCATTAGCATTGGCGCTGGCATTGGCATTAGCGCTGACATTAGTATTGGCTTTGGCTTTAGCTCTGGTATTGAAGGTGGTGAAGCTAACATTGGTATTAGCGCTAGCATTGGCATTGGCATTAGCGGTATTTTCTTTTTAATAAATAAATAAAATTTAGATATTTTATTTGTATTTTAATCAGAATATTAAAAAATAAAATCT